GAGCTCTCTGGCACATGTACTCTGTCATTTTTTTAACTGTTGTTTAGCTGCATGAAAGGGCTGAAATATTTCTATTTTTATCAATTCCATCACTGTGATACTTTGTGACAGCCACTATGAACCCAGATGTATTACTAAGGTCAGTCTCTTGGTGGCCAATATCCATGTTGGTATCATGTTAGGGTCACTAGCTGAAAGTCTGAGTCTGTCACTTATAAGATGTGTAGCACTAGGCAACTCATTTTACCTCTCTATTATTGATCTGAATATCAAATACAAAGCATAGTAGCACAAGGATGAAACTATAATCTGGTAGCACATAGTCTCTATTATAATGTAATTGATAAAATTAACCTTTGATTTCCCCTTTTCATTTTCTTCTTTACTACTTAGGATTAAACTGAGGGTAACTCCTGAGCTACATGTTCATCCTCTAAAATTACTGTTATTTACTCTGTGCAAATTTTATACAGTGTATTTTGAACATATTCACACACACACACACACACACAGACATTTCCCAGATCCAGCCACTTTGTATCTTCTTATTTTTTAACAGTCCACTGAGCCTAATTTCTGTTTCCCCATGTACTCCTGAGTGTAGGGTCATCTACTGCACTATGGTCAACTGACCATGGCTACACCCTTATGGAAAGATGACTCCCTTACCCTCAAAGCAACTGTCCATAGCTCCATAGCTCCATAGTTAGGGATAGGGTATCATTTACCAGTTCCTACTTCATGCTGAAATGTTTACTGGGTTGGTTTTGCGTGGGTCTGATTCAGGCAACAGAGCTGTTATGAGTCACGAGTACTGCAATCCTATCATGTCAGGAAGACATTTTCTCTGGTCCTCCGAGATAACTAGCTCTTACAAATTTTCTGCCCCCTCTTCCACAGTCATCCCTGGGCCTTAGCTGGTGGGATGACAGTGATGTTTGTGGCTGAGCAGCACTCCACTGATGCTTATTCTCCATTCTACCTGCCCCTGACATGACTATTAACTACTAATTTCTTGACTGTACAAAGAATCCTCTGGTGAGACCCGAGAGCTGCGTTAATCTGTGGGTAGAGAAAAACTGAAATGAGAAATGGAGATGTCGGCTTGATGCTATGTCCATTTAGCAGAATAATGGTAGTGGGTTCTCCCCTGGGGCCTCTGGGCTCCCCCACCTATGGGTTCCTGGTCAGATTTACAGTATTCAGGAATGTGTTTAACATGTGGAGCAGGCCTTAAATCCAAGAAGAAAGCAATCCATTACTCTCATGGGATCCATAGTGCTATAGCACCTGCAGGCATAGCTGCTATGATGGTCATTATCTTATCCCACAGCTGGGGGAAAATGCTTAATGATCCCCTACACTCCCCTCTGCAGTCTACATAATATCTTCCAACACTGTGACAGCTAGCCAAAAGGGAGGAGACTACCTGGTCAGTACCAACTTCATTTCTCTATGACCTATGACCAACGTGTATGGTATTTTCAGAAACAGGTCTTTACCTGGTAGATAACCAAGAGCAATGGCTTGGTAGTATTTTGAGGGTCTCTAGGAATCCCCTGACCAACAACTTGATCCGCTTCCCATGAAATAAACATTTCAGTTTAAGATGACTCGTCACTAAGCTGCTTAGACTCACCAAGTAGCCTAGATTAGGCTTTAAAATCCAGATCCTCCTGACTCAGCCTTCCACAATTTCCTCACTTTTAGACAAATTGTGTTGTGATGAAATTTAAATAACCAAGAATGAAAGAGCACCATTGTGACTGGTGTAGGAGAGGGAAATCAATACTTTTTCAATAATACAAGGTAATCACTTTTGAAATAGACCACAAAACTCCATTACCATTTTATTATGTCAATTTCTATTCTCTTTTCATTTTATTACTTTGGATCATAAGTGAATTAGAGCCCTCTTCTACAGCGATTTTTGTTATTTAGAGGAGAGTAGGAAAAAACATATTTTAAATCTGATTCCTATCTCAGTTGATCATCATGTTGGTTTATTTTTTGTTTTATTTAAAAAACAAACAAACATGTTATATTCTAAGAATGTGTAATCAAAAACAAGATTTTTATTCTAATACAGCTTATAATTAGTTGAAGTTATAAGTAAAATTATCACCACTTAATAAATTATAATCGTGTATATAACATGCAACGGCTATCATGTGAGTGTGTATTAAGACAGTGATACATATTCTTCAAGGATACAAAATCACTCAGAAGTCACAGTAGAGACATCATGAACTGGACGCTAGGCTGTATGTCTTGTCATTGTGATACCTTAGGGAACTGATTTAGAATCTTCTTGTCTATAAAACAAAAATAATATTGTGTTCCTCTATCACAGAGTTTTACGAAGCCTATATGGTATTATACTGAACAAAAAGCATAGTGTCTGTTAAGCAGAGATCAGAATATTAGCATTTTCAGAATAGCTGGGAATAGGTAGGTACATGGATAGCCATCATACATATGTCAGTCAACACTGCTGTGTAAACTGACAAAGAGAAGGTTTGTGGGCCTCAAAAAATAGGGTGTTTGAACTAAACTTTGTACCTATACATTATATATGTATAATGTATAAAAAAGAACAAATCAAGGCAACTTTAGTGTTAGAAACAGAAGAAGGGCAAGGAGAAAAGGCCAATGGGATACTACACAAAAGATGTTGGGGAACTCAGAAGCCTCATTGCTAGTTCAATAGTCTTGCATTTGTTTTTGTTGTCATTGTAGAGAAACCTACTAAGAATTTTCAGAAGTGAAATAATAATACCAAAAGACAGGGATCTGGCATAATAGTAGAATACTTACCTAGCATTCCCAAAGCCTTTGGTTTGATATCAAAAACAATAGGAATCTTATATATGTATACATACATACATACATACATACATACATACATACATGTATATGTATAATGACATTGTGGTGCATACTTATACATACTATCAGTACTAAACTAAGGAGACCAAGACGAGAGGATCAAGGCTTTGAGGCCATTATGGACTACATTTTAAAACCCCTACCTTTCTTGAAAAAAATGTATAAAGCCACTGGGAATGAACAGACCAGAGAGGGTTGTTAGAATAGTCTCTTAGCTGTGGACCTGCAATTGCTAGTCTTTGTTATTCATTGCTATGGGACAGGAAAGAGGAAGGCCTCTGAGATGGAGGCTAGTGACGTCCAGATTTGGATTCTAAGGAATTCAGAAATGCCATTAACACATTTGGAGAACATAAGACAGACATGGAAGCACTTTCAGAGCATTGGAACATACTTGTTTGGGCAGTTGGCAAATCTAGGGATAAATTTAGGAATTGATAGAGCTTAGAACAATTGAGGTCCACAAAGGTGAAAATATAAGACGTCTAGCCCATTCTGAGGAGTAAAACTGAAAGCTCAAGAGTGGATGAGAATTCCAACGGAAGATGGTGACAGGTTCCACTCTGCGGACAGTCCTTGTCCTTAGGGCAGGCAGGAGGACATGGAGATGAAAAGTCACTAGAAGAAAGGCAGAAGAGCTAGACTATAGGGTAATGTGAGGATGGAGGGATTTGAACAGTAACATTTTAGAGAGCCTGGGCTTGATTTGCTTGGGAGATAAGGCAGTTGGAATGAGGGAGAGATGAAGCTAGAGCTCAAATGTGAGGCTACTGTGAGAGTTGGTCTCTTACGAGAGAAGGCAGGAATATTTTCGTGGTCTCAGAGACTGTTTCCTGGAGACATGAGAGTCATAGCTCTCACTCTTAAGGACAGAGTTTGCTTTGTAAAAATATCTTATTGTCTGACCCCAAAGCACTGCTCCTCTGTCCTTTTTCTTTCTTGGAAATAAGTGGTGTGGTTATCTGGTACTGGTCAAGTGGTAACTGTTTCGATTCCTGCCCCTCGTCTAAAGAGAAAAAGAGTCATCATGTTGTTCCAGTGAAATCAAAGTTGAAAGCATGTTACTAGGAAATTTTATAAATTAATACTGACACATAATCTGAGGTTTTTTTTTTTCTACAAAAATCTTCTCTTTCCTGAGGCAGAGAAAGGAACTGGATAAGAGTGTTTCCTAGAGATTGACAATCTTGATAAAGTTGGGCAAGACTTGAAATGAAGAGGATAAAAATGCAAAAAGTAACAAATGAAATAAAAGAGAGAGAACTCAATTCTCAGAGTGAGAAAATCTATCTGTGGATTTTAGAAATGGATCATTCTCAGTTGTGGCCAGAAAAGTCCATGATCGTATCTCATCAAGGCAGAGTAGAAATAATTAGGCCCTCATGTCACTTCAGACTCATTATGTGCATAAACCTTAGAGTTACTTGGGATGACAGTTAAAGTGAAGTGGAAAAATCCCACATGCTGGGCTTTCACCCTCAATTCCATTATTACAGCAGTAATGGATCTTGTCTCATAAAGCTTTGTAAATTCAGAGGAGCCTAGCAGAATGCTTTGTCATTGGAAGGTAGTCAATATCTGTATGTTGGACTCATGCTAATAACTTTATTGAGTTTTCTGATTATCTTTAAAAGCCAAATAAATGACTGGAGAAGTAACTAGGATGCTGCTACATTGCCAAAGAAGGTTTAGAGGGTGACAGCAATATTCCTCCAAGTGGTGTTTTTTTTTATGTGTGTGTGTGTGTGTGTGTGTGTGTGTAGAAGCCAAGCTTCTGGAGTGCTAGAAGCAAGATGTAGAAAAACATACAATCTCTGAATAAGGGGACTTCTTTATAAAGCACGTGGATATAAGATAGAACATTCTGAGAAAGGAAAGACAAATTAGAGGGGAGAAGAGTACAGATTAGTATAGGGATTGGATAAAACAGAGAAGGCTGGCAACTGAAAGGTCTTGTGGTTTCTATTATATTAGTGACTCGTACCATTACCCCAAAATGGGATTCAGTGTAAATTTGAGTGTCAAGCACACCTGATGGTCTCACATGTTTGTCTGTGCAAAGTCTGTGAGAGAATAGCTGCTGCATGGAGCAAACACAGGTGCAGGCCGCCATGCCAGCTGGTGTCTATAGCTGGGTTAGCACTGGGAAAATGGCTCTGGGCAGAATGAAGAAGAGTGAAGCATGACTGGCTGAGGATCCCCTACTCATCTGCATGTCACCCACACTGCCCACCCAGGAGTGTGCATGCTTAGAGCTGCTAGAGACTGCTCGTGTTCTTGGATAGGGCTGTTTTTAAGCAAATGGTGATTTATTTAGTCATATAGTTAGTTTGAGTGACTTTATTTAATCCATTATTTTCTTGGCAGCCCATGTTGTAAGAATGCGTGAACATGTATGTAGGACAGAAAATTTTCAAAAGAGCAATAGGCCTTAAATCAGCCAGAGCAAGGTCAAAATACAGTGGTTTATACACACTGGGATGGAAAGGAATGGGGAATAGGATCTTGGAAAGAGACCTTTGAGGCCCCAGATTAAAAGAGTAGATTTGTCTAGATTTATTGGTTTGTGGAAAATCTGAACTATAGCCACATTCCTATTTTTTAAGTACTTATTTGGGAATTGTTTGTTTTATACCAGTAAAATGTAAGTAGATAGGAGACAGTTAACTACCTTTTTAGTGGAGGCCGCAATTAGCATTTTTCATGAGAACAATAGGCACTTGGAAGACCATCTCCTAGATTACAGACCGTTTAACTTCTATGACCCCTGCTTCCCAATGCAAGTAAACTCTTTATCATTTTGACAACTAACTCCATTCCCAGGCAGGCAGTGTCCTTCAGAAGTATCATAGTCTACAGGGAAAGGCTACCTGGGGGAAATTTTTATTCTCTCTAGAGATTTCACTGAGCCCATATTGAAATAGCAGTGATATTCTGGAGTGTTTTTCTTTCCACTCAGTTAAAAAGAAGACCAGGAAGCCTGACTTCACTGTGCAGTGTCCTGAATTGATGACACACTTAATTTGATAATCGACAGTAATATTTCAGTGATATAATATAAATGTGACATTCTTTTCTTGCCCAAGTCTTCTCTGCATGCACTGCCAGCTTAGGACTGTAGCCTGTCCCCTATCTCAGGTCACAGGCACACCTCTGTAGGCATCTGCTACTAGTGAGCATGTTCACCTTTCTGGAGGTAGAGGATTTTTTCTTAATTAAATTGTATATTATGGACACAGGGCAAGAAAGTTCTCTTCCATCCAATGTGTCTTTCTAGCACCTGGTTGACATGAGAGCAGGATCAAAAGGTAAAGGGATCATTGGCAAGGCAGAGGCTCTGCTCTCTACTGGCTTCTAACTTTACATCTTTCTGATATTGGAAATCCAAAGTCAAAAAAATGAATATGAGAAAGGCCATGATTGCTGAATGGAAGAACAGGAATGGAAGATGAGAGAGGAAAATGTTCCAACCTAAGGGAGGATTGTGCACGACATGTATATATTATTGTCAATGGAATATGCCTCCCTCCCAGGACTGCTGGCAAGAAAAGTGCCATTAATTCAAGATCTTTGGAATTTTCAGAGGGATGCTTTACAGAAGTCTATGTAGGAGGAAGTCCTCTTTAAGAATTCAGACGTGCGCTTCTGCTTGTATTTCAACTCCTCTTTTCCTCTTGGACCTCCAGATTTCTTTCAATCTTTTCTTCCTATAGATGTAAAATTCACTTTCTGCAGGTTTCAACATCTTTAATTTGTCACCTTTGGCATGTGTGCTTGGTTTGTGCCCCTCCCCCCACCAACCATACTTGCTACCTCTTCCACAACCTGACATGAACTTTCTCTCCACTAATCTTGCCTCACTCTGAGGGCTGTATTTTCTATTCCCTTCAATCACATCCTACAGCGCCCTTCATTTTTGGAAAGATTGCTTTGACTTATTTTTATACTCACTCAGATCTTGAAGTTATGTCTTCATGTAGATTATACATGTCAGAAGTGAAGTACACGGTGTAAATGTATAAAACATGTGTCCATTCTTCCATCAGGTTAAGTACCTCTAATCCAACCAGAAGTGTTTTGAATTTCAATTGCATTTTTAAAAAACATAGTATCATATCTTGGGGAATATATCCAAGCTTAAATATGCACTTTACCTAATTACATGTAAATGTTACATAGGAGTGGAATGATGTATCCTAGGTGAGTAGGTGGCTCCCCCAACCCCTCATACTCTATGTCTCTTTTCCTGACAGGAGGATGAAGTTGTACTCCAGTGCATTGCAAACATTCACAAGGAGCAACGGAAGTTCTGCCTGGCAGCTGAGGGACTTGGGAATCGCCTGTGCTTCTTGGAACCCACCTCAGAAGCCAAGGTGAGATAAAGAGCCTGTTCTTGCTGGCTTCCCATGTGATCATTTAGGGCAAATATTTCTTGGAGATGGTGACAAAAGAGAAACTTGAGATGGTATACTTATTTTCCCATAGGAAAGATCAGATGTAGAATATATCTCTCATCTAGGAAGCACTGGCGTCAGACCCCAGAGCTGAGAAAAAAGTGGGGAAGTATTCTTTTGTCTGTCAGAATTCTCTAGTATACCAGAGATGCCTGGAACTGCCAGCACTGGTTGGATGGGGTGATCTCTTGATACTCCCAGGCTGCTGTCTTTGACACTGTTAATTCTTAGAAATCTGGGTCCCTGTTCTATACTCTCAGCTGTCATTTTATTGCTACAGGGACTCTTGGTTGTTTGAGCCTATGTTTTTACAGTTAGCACAGCATAGTTCTGATTGGATGGAGATTGTTGTAACTGCCTGCTGTGACTCAAGGACACTGAGGGCCATTTGCTCTGGTCCCTTGCCTGCATAGAGACATGTCATGTCATGTCTATTCAGCTGAATTTTCCCCCCAACATATCCTGGTTGTGTCTGGATGTTCAGAAATCTTAAAGCACTTTGCAGTCTTGACAAGATTTGTACTAGTCAGAGTTCTCCAGAGATACAGAACAAGAATCTCAGTAGATGGGTGAGGGGTTGAAGAGATTAGCTTAAACAAATCCTTCATAGTCCATGGAATTCTGAGGTCTAGTGAGCCTGAAATCCACGGTCATGGGTGCATCTGCACTGTAGCGTCAGAGGCTCTCCTCTGGGCAACCCAGGGGCAATGAGTAAGGCATAGAAAAAGCATGAGGAACAATGACCTTTACTTAAGGTCAACTTATTGCAGATGTTATTTCCAGCTATAAAATAACTACATCAAAACTTTGGTTAGATGGCTAAGGAAGTAAATGTTCCTACCATTAGGTCTGATGACCCAAGTTCAATCCCAAGGCTCCCTATGATGGAAAGGACAGAGCAAATTGTTCTCTGATGATATCCTTAAGCCTCTTGCCTCAAAACTGGGAAATAATTTTTTTTAATTAAATGACTGTGGTTTGAGTGAAACAAGTTAATACACAACTAGCTATTGTACCTACTAAGACAAGTTTTTCTTACATAGCTACTTTTAATCAAAAAATGATTTGCCCATGAACATATGCCATAAACACATTTGAAATTTGACCAAATTCTGGAACACCAGAGGTATGGGATTAATAGATACGTCTCTCAGAGTTACCTCCTTCACTTCAGTGCTTTGCCCCCTCCACATGTAAGTTTCTGATTCCTAAGGACAGACACTGGCCAGCACCTATAGGACAGAGTCCTGATAAGATAAAAGAGGTAAAAGCTAATTTTGCCTTTCCCAAGTTCTTAAATTTGATTTTCCCAAGTCTTTTTTGTATTTGCTTTTGTTCTTAGCAGGAGTTTTTTTTTTTCTATTCCCTTTAGTTATAAATAATAGAAAGATCACCAGGGTAGAAGTCAAGATGTTGAACATCAATTGTTAGCTTGTCACATGATCCCAGATGAGTCACTCAACTTTGTTTTCAGTTTTGTTCTTCTGCCAAATCAGATGCAGTGTGCTGTGTTACCAAGAGTGCTCAGGAGTGGTGGAACAATGAGATGGTACTAGCCCTATGCACTCTTTCCTCAGTGGAGCATGCGACAGTGGTTCTGCTTACAGGATGTAATTGTCAAAAGTGTCTACCACTTACTAGTCAATCTGAGACCTTGGCCATTATCTGATCTTGCTGAGTTTACTTTTCTTACTAGCTTAGTGGGAATTTCACCTTAATTTAAGTTATAAGATGGTCTCAGGATGGAATGGTTTAGTACTTGTGTAGTACCTCGTATATTACATTGTATAATATATTATGAGTCAGTATTTAGTAAAATACTTAACTGAAGTCAGTGTCTTAATCTATGACATAAGCATATCTACAATTCAGTGGTACCATAGAAATTTAAGAACAGCAATATATACCAAGCACACAGTGCTTAACTCATCGAACAGTAACTGGAGTTGAAAATAATACCACGAACAGCATTTGTATTAGTTTCATTTCTGTTGCTGTAAAGAAATAATATGATAGAAAGGACCTTATGGAAGAAAGAATTTGTTTTGGCATATGGCTTAAAATGGTAAGAGTCAGTCACCATGAGGATGCGTGGCAGCAAGAGCAGGAAGCTGAGATGTCACATTTTCAACCATAAACACAAAGCAGAGAGTGAACTAGAGCTGAGACAAAGCTATAGACTCTCAAAAGCTCCCAGTCATGTACTTCTTCTGGCAAGGTTCTACCTCCTAAATGTTCCTCCACTTCCTCAAACAGCATTACTAGATCAGCTCTGGACCAAGGTTTCAATATGAGGCTGTAGAGTACATTTTGCCTTACCCTGTGAGGTAAAATTTTATCCCTTTAGAAACACAAAGCCTGATTTTGTATGACAAGAAAATTGATCTCAGATCAGCCCCTGAACTTACAAAATCATGAATGTTAAAAATTAAACCCTTAAATTAAAAATGTATTTAATTATAAAAAGTCATAAGTCTTTAGTTTTGTAAATGTGATGGTGTTTATAATAGTCAAAACTCAAGTCAAGTAAGAGGGAAAAATCATATATTGTGATCTAAGAAGGCTTGTATCTTTCATATATAAAACTAAACCACATCACTCATAAGTGCATTTGAAGATAAGAAAATACCCTTTTTCATTCCCACTTGGCTAAATTATTATTCTTATCTTAATTTCATTGTATATTTGAGGAAGAGTCATTGAGACACAGAATATTATGCACAACACTCTTGGTCACAATTCTTCTCGCCTGTCCATATACTCTTGTATTCAATTCTGTACTTACAACACTTACTCAGACTTTATGTATTTGTATTTAATAGTTCAACCACTTATCAAGTGCCAAATAATCTTCACAGGTGCTTTTCAAATCATATATGTGGTTCTGTTGGTTTACCTTCCAAGAATAAATTGCAGAATCAGAATTCACAGCATCTGGGGCATGAACAGTGAATTGGAATTACTTTCCTATGAGGATACCTTACTTATTACAGCGACATTCCTGCTATTGTTGTGTGTCTTATGTATGTAGTATGAGGGAAATGCGCAATGAGTTTTGTTACAGAGAAACAGATGGAGTGGTTGGATGGATCAAGATGGAGTGAATGTTCAGCATTTTCTTGTCCCCATCATGGAGAGTATCCTGGTAGATGAATCCACTTTCTGGGAACTTTATTCTGTACTGAAATCAAATATAACATGTCTGCCTCTCTGTCGGCCTGCTCAATTCTTCTCATTCAGCAGACCCTCTCATTCCTGCCAGGAAGTTTCCAAGCATTTACACTGTTCTAAAGTTCTTGGAAGATAATATAGGTCATACAGAGAGGTGAGAGGCTGTGTTCCCCAGGCTGGCACTGAGCATGAAGCACAGACATCAAACACAATTCTTATCTGCCATCCTTGAGCCAATCAGTGCCCTTGAGGATTGCTAGACCAGGATATTTTGAGCTAGTTGACACTCAGAGGGATAAAACTGACATGAACTCTGAGGAAAAAGAAAGACTTCAGAGAAAGAAAAATGACTTAGACTGTTCAAAAGAGAGTCTCAGTTTGTGAGCTCTGAAACAATGAGAGAACTTGTACAAGCAAGGAGGAGGGTGTGTGTGTGAAAAACTGAGTAACAGAAGTATGAGAATGTCAACACCTGTTGTTGATATAAGACTAGCCTACCATTCAGGAAGCTTCTGAAGCTGATTCCTGCATGCCATGGACATGATGATCTCCAAATCTACTGGCATTACCTGATAGAAACATGGCCACTTAGTTGCTCTTTCAAATAAGCACATGTCCAGGAATTAAAATGACCTTGTTGGTAGGAATGACTCAAAAACATAGCCAGAAACCAGGAAACAAAAGAAGGAAGCATTTCTTCTTTATTTTCTTAATAACAGCAATGGTTTTATTTATTATAGTTTTAAAGTAAAATATTTATTCTTTGGCACTAGGAATTTAATAATTTTTCTTCTAGTCTTTCATATCAGATAGTATCTACTTAGTTCCATAGAGGCTCTTATGAAATAATGTTTGAATCTCTTTAACACTCAATCTCCTAAGACTCTTTGGCTGTCTTTTCTCAGCCATAGGAAAAGAATCATGTCCTCTGGGAAGTGTCAGTCATTTCTTTTTTGTAGATACCCTTGCAGCGGTGCCATTCCAGGGATAGGATATGAACATCCCACCTTAGCTGACTGTTGAGGATGCAGGAGAGGAGGTTATAGCAGATAGGCATGAGAACGACAGTGGTTAAAGCTCCATGCATCACAGGAACCAATATATCTTGTAACATCAACTCATGTACAAGGGAGAGCCTAGCTATAAAGTCCCTACACTGGAGCAATTACAATGATAGAGCCTCCCAGAAGATCTTGATCATCTTTCCAGTCTTGCTGCAGCCTGTCAATTAGGGATCTTTTCAATCAATGCTTTTTCCCTGGCAACATAATCAACACACTAGTTTTATCAGATGACCACAGGAATATAACTGGAGAGCTACCTAAGAGTCAAGTGTTATGAATGAGATGAGGCTTTATAGCCTTCCCACAGTGATTTGTTGATGACACTTAAACAAATACTATGCTTTTTTCAAATTTGTCCAGAATCTTAGTTCCTTTATTCTATTACCTTTCTAGACTCTCAAATCTCACACGCCTTAATATAATATCACTGAAAAGGGAAAAGAATGTGGGAACTTTTTCAATTGATTTCTATTGATTAGAAAACTGAAATAAGTGATAGAGAAGCAATTTAACTCGGATCTCCTAAAATTTAATAGTATATCTCTTGAGAGCTTGGGTTTTAAATGTATAAAAAAGAAGTTCCACTTGTTTGGGGGATGGATATTCAGTATTTTACCTACTACAATTAATATAAACAAAAATTATAATTAAAATCTAATTTTAAGATAGGAGATTTTGATGAAT